TAAAAGGGGTATTTGGTTTTCGATACGCAGAACAGTATTATGATTCCATTACACGTTGATATTCTGTAGATCCATGCTGCAGCTATATAGTTGAAACACGAATGTGACCAGAATACCAGCGTGAAATAACAGCTTAATGCTGCTGTGTTTCGTATGGTGAGTGTAGAGAACAGGAGAACCTTTTTACTAGAAACGAATCATTTCTTTGTCCTCAGGAGTGACAACGCATCGCCATTTTAATTCTTAATCGAGGATAGATGTAGATGTCTACGGGCTATAGCATACACTCACCATGATGTGGACTGTGTGCTCGTTTGTGACCCTAATTCTATAAAAATAAATGTTATTTGAGTAGGTTGTAATGGTAAGATATTGCAGGTTGTAACGATTTAAATTTACACTCTTTAAGTTCAAGTTCTCCTGGTTGACTTTCGCCACGGCTTAAAAATCTTAAAATTTAATTAGCTTAGATCCACGAGCAAACAAAAATGATGTGTTTTACCCGGTTTGTAGTGTATCCCTCCTTCAATTGCGTGCTGTCACCCCTAATCTTAACATCACTTTCCACTAAGAAAGATACACCACCGTTTATACTTACGTGTTTTGTCGCTAAACGAGGCATCATGAGGAGAAAATAAATAGACTCTGCGATGGCTGACCGCTAATTCAGAAATGACATCGTTACAGTCTACAAATATCACTGTTGAACATAGGCCTTCCTCATTTTGCATTATAAGTTAGCTGTAGCAGTTATTTATTATTTTAAGTTGTCAGGAAGAAGCTGATGCCTAGGTCCTGTTCCAGTTAATGTGACATGACATGAAAGCACGATGGTATTAAAAGTTAAAATTTAAGAAACAAACTATGTAATTTTATCAGATTATTTATTCGAGTAGAAAACTTTAACGTGGTAAAGCCATGTTGAGCTATATTAGGTTCGGCTCGTCTGGGGGAGAACTACGCTCAGACAGAATACCGGCGTAAATTAGCTTAATGCTGCTGTGTTTCGTATGGTGAGTGTAGGGAACCGGAGACCCGTTTTAAGAGACATCTTAGTCCTCAGGGGGTGACAACGTATCTGCATTAATGAGGATAGATGTAGATGTATATTAGCCACAGCGTTCACTTACCATCAGGTCGCCTGTGTTCTCGCTGGTCATCCTTATTTTATTAAAAAAATAATTAAAAGAAATGGAGACTCCGTTTACAATAAAAGTAGAAAATAAGACGTTACGCTACGCCTTACTTAGGTTGTACTGAGGCTACTATTGCCGTGTGCTTCCAATTTTTTGTCACAAAGATGTGAACGAAATTATAAATAAGTTGGGTATACCATGGAATGCCACTCTAACAAATAAACAGTTATTATATGTTTATTTACTGGATAAATGAAACTAACAAATTATTTAAGTAATAATTTGTTTTATTACATAACATATAAACCACATTTTTTTTTGTTGTTATTGTATATTTAATCAAAATTAATTGAACTCTTCCAAATTGCCTTGCTAAGAACAAGGCTTCTTAGAAGGTCATTATAATAAATCAGTCTTTTGACACTAAAGTTTAATAAACAGCGATTAAATCTACAATAAAAAGAAGTGGTTTATATGTTACGTAATAAAACAAAGTATTACTTAAATATTTGTTAGTTTCATTTATCCAGTAAATAAACGAATAATAACTGTTTATTTGTTAGAGTGGCCTTCCATGGTACACCCACCTTATTTTAACGTCGTCGATTCCCGAAATCAATGAAGCGAGGGACCGTACTGCCAAAATAGTAGCGCGAGCGATTCGCCGCCGCGTCTGTGATTTTCAGTTCGATCGGTGTTTAAGTAGAAGGAATGTCATCACACGGCAATAATTACGACATTTTAATAATTGGCTTTCGAAGAAGCATGGCCTTCCATGGTCCATCCACTTTACTTAATGTCTTCCAGACTGAATTTCGGTCACAACGGGTAGTCTGAACGGAGACTAGCCACCTGCGCAGGACATAATTATAGTTCGCAAGTCTGTGTGCAAGCACAGGTGTACTCTCTGTTCTCTCACTCTCATAGTTCATTGGGACGGCTTTCCGACATGAGCGTTGAGGGACCAGATTTAGGACCAAGGGTTTTCGAGTTACGGGGGAAAACACTGCCATTTTCCCGACTTCTCTAAGAAAAACCCAATAACTTATTTTAGCTCGACCCGGAATTCGAACCCGGAGGGTGATGAACACCAATCACGTTTACGATCACTGGAGGAACGAGGCAGTAATGAAGTACTACTCCGATAAAAAAATTCAAAAGGTTGGTTCGAAGCTTTCACACGAGAAGAAAGAATTTAATGCGTAGTATGACCTCGTCAAATCGATAAAAGAGTATACAATAAACAAACATTGTTACAAATCAATGGATGCGGATGAGACATCCAGCGCAGAGCAGTTCGAATCGTCGACGACCGAGTTCTTTCTGATCAGCTCGATTCACTGGCGTTTTACTAGAAGTTTTCGTACAACTTCTCTGAGGAATTGTTTACCACCGGTGATTCTTACGGACCGATACGACTTAGGGACCCTACATTTAAGAAAAGAGCTTCTAAAAAGGCCGGCATCGCGATGGTCTTGCGGATGTTAATGGGCGGCGGTAGTCACTTACCATTAGGTGAGTTACATGCTCGTTTGCCCCCTCTTCTATAAAAATAATATATATATACAACCACTTTTTGTGGTCTTGTTCTACGTGGTAATTAGTAATGCTACCACAACATTTTGATTGTATTTGTCGAAAGCACGAATGTGTCGGCTCGACCGGGGAACGGACCACGTTCTCACATAATACCAGCGTAAAATATCAGCTCGAAGCTGGTGTGTTTCGTGTGGTGAGTGTAGAGAACCGTAGATGCTTTTAACTGGAAGTGTGGCATTCCATATTAGTCCTCAGGGGTCACAAAGCATCTGCATTGATTCTTAACCTAGGATAGATGTAAATGTCTACTTTACAAGTCTTGGCAACCAAACTGCGATTCACCTGGTAATGAAGTTAGTCATGAGCGGCGGTAGTCACTTACTATCAGTTGAGCCACAAGCTCCTTTGCCCTCTCATATAGAAAAAAAACCTTCAGGTGGACTGTGTGTTCGCTTGTCTTTCATATTCCATAAAAAAGTTTCTATTTTGTGTCAAGTTTCATGACTGTTCTAATACAAAAAATCAACTGGAGCTATTTTTTTTTCAAAACATAAACATTTCTTAAGTAAAAATGTTCTTTTCAATTACTTCATTTACATCTTATTTAAATTTAGTTAGGACACTTTGTATTTGTACTGAAACCGGTGTCCTGAACTTTGTAAAAGTTGTCTATCAATTGGTGAGGTACTTAATACCTGTGATAAGCCTCTAGTTTAGTGCAAAAACATTTATAGTGTTTAAATAATGTTTTTTTATTTTTTGGCAAATAAATATATTTCTATTTCTATCATTATTATTAATGGATACTTTTCAATTAAATCTACCCGTGTTCTCTTCTTTAAGTAAATCAAAGAACATACATAATACTCATAGTAATATTCATAATATTATTGGTGTATATCATAGGTGATGATCACCAAAATAAAAAAAAATGTTGTCATGTTTAATATGTTATTTAATGTCTTTTATAATAGTAATAATATTAATAATAATAGTAATAATTAATAAATAAAAATATTAGTAATAAACTAATCAGGTAAACTCATAATACTATTAATACATTAATAAGCCAAACTGATCCAGTCTTCAAATGGTCAATTTCTAAGTAATGAGTATTATTTAATAATGCAAGTTGATGCATGTTAATAATAGTATTGTATTAATAATTTAAAAAGTTCCCAAGGAAAAATATATTAAAAACTACCCCCAAGAATATTATGTCTGTTAGATAATATTTGTGACCAAAAGAAACAGAAATATTATAGGTAATATAAAATAGTGATACAACAGTGATACAATGCAGGTGGCACAAGTCCACCTTTGTAGCATTCCTAGGCTTATGTTCAGCAGAAGACTTGTCATGGGCTGTAATATAGATGATGTGATGATGAAGAAACAGGCAATTGCAATCTAAAATTGACATTTTGTGATTGTGATTTGACTTATTTCTGCATAATGTATAATAGTCTGTAAAAGAAAGCAGCCTAGATACATCCCACTGTTGAGCACTTGCCTCATGTTATGTCTGAGGTTTTTAGTGCTAGAAATTATCTTCCATATTGCCTCAACGCTTGTAGACTTTCATGTGCTCAAATTATATTATCTTAGACATGCAAGCTTATTTATGAAATTATTCTTTACAGCAGATCATGTGGTAATAAATAATTATAAACTAACCTCTCAAAATAATATCAATTGATCGAACATGGTCTGCTTGCACAATATTAAGTTTGCAGACAAGAGCTTTTCCCCCGTGCTACAAATACTCTTTTTTGAAACATACATTATATAAAAAATAAATTAAATAATTACGACTAAAGCTGGGTTGCCATAGGTGCCATGTTTATGAGTGACTTTAACAAAAAAAATGTGCTAACTGTGTTACTTGCCCTTTACTTTATAAAAGGCGATTAATGGGATATTGTGTTTGTGGGCTGGACACTTATCACTTCTTTCACAATTTTCCAACTTAACCTATATTTGTTGGCTAAGCGTTGTCAGAGTAGCACACTAGTCTTTCTGCCTACCCTCATATGGATAACAGGTGTAATGCTACTGTTATCATTACAGCCTATAAAAGTCTAATACTGAATAATAGTATTGCCTAAATTGCCTCATAAGTTTTTTTTTTGCCATATTTACCACTGTTGGCAAGCGGGTCGGAAACTGCAGTTGTTTATTTTTATTTGTTTTTAGGAAGACGCTGCTACTCCTAATATGATTTCCTCTGTCGCCTCTTACGACACCCACAGAATGATATGGGGTAGTAGATATACTTACACTGCCATTACTCCCTGTAATGCTATGTATCTATGTATTAAATAATTAAATTATAATAACATCCCCTTCATTTACACATTCATACTTATAAACCTCATTATTTACTAATTCCCTATATCCTTTTTGGTATTTTAATGCAAGCGAATTTGTGGGGCAAGTGCTTCTGAACACTGAATCACCAGTAGAATTTAGTTTTATGATCCCAAAATATAGCACTTCAGGGTCAACTATATTTTGCATTTCCTTTCTTTTCTCTTTAATTATTAAGGGTTCTTTTACTGGCAGCATAAGTATCATATCCTGTACTTTATCATTTAATTTAATTTTAGCTTGAACAGTCCCATTAATAGAATTTTGTGAATTTGGTTTATTTATCTTTGTTGCCTCTTCTAATGGTAACTTACACTCAATGCATCTTATATTATTGTGATAATCTGTACTCAATGGGACGGGGAATAACCTATCATTCAAATAGAATCTGTATAGACATTTGTGTTCACCTAAAATTGAAGTGTCATCCTTAACTTTAATTCTAGATTTAGCTGAGTGACATTCAAAATAATTTCGCTGTCGGAATTCTTTAATTTCCTTTATATTGTCCCATCTGTTTACGTCAAAGTATCCCACCTCCTCATCATTTGACTCGGGGTATATTTCATATAGCACAGCTTTTGAAGTGTTTCCTTCAGAAATAGACACTTCTGAAGATTCAATTATTGTGCTTAATGGTGGTTTCCTTTTGTTTTTACTTGGAGTTACATGAACTGATTCGGATGATAATGCAAAATTTTCATTTTTGTAATACTGTTGTACTGTATGATTGTATCCTTCATTATTTGCTGACCTTGAACATATCTTTTCCATTTGATGTTTCGATGTATTTTTATGAAATTTGGTATTACCATCACATGCGATGGGTGTTTTAGAATGGTCAGACAATTCATTTACCTCTAATTGCTTTGTCCCTCCTTTGACTTTTTCATCGACATCTCCACACTGCTTACAAAGGTCTGGTTTCACAATCTTTTTTGGTGCATTCTTGTTAAAAGTCTGATCAGACTTTGTGGTTACTTTTGGTTTACCAACAGATTTTTTGTCTAGATGGCTTATGGTTCCAGTGGAACATCCTTTTCTGTCACCACTGCATCGTTGAATGAAACTCTTCGAAGGTATAACCTTTTTCAAGGTTCGTGGTTTATAAGAATATGTTTTACTTTTGATGCAATTAGATGAATTAAAATTATTATAATTTCCAACACAATTTACAGCTTTATCGTTCATTATTAATTTATTGTAAATTCAATTTACACAAAACAAACATTCTAAATTCTAATTCCCCACATGTCAAACTCAAATGTCAATGTCAAAAAAGCTGTGACGCGGTTTCTATGGTGACTAATTTAAAAAAAAATCTATTATATATTTGATGAGGCAGAACAGTTTAAATGTATTTATTTAAGTTTCGGTTGAATAAAAAAAAACATTTTTAATTAGTGAATAAAGTCTAAAGTAGTATTTTTAGTACTAAAAATAATGATTTTTGTTAAAGTGACATCTGTATTGGTACTACAGCATCAGAGTTAACTTAAAATAGTGCTTATCAACACCATTGATGTGTAGATGGCGCACAAATATTTTTGATTCATAACTTTAAAATTTTATTAAATGATTTCTTATATTTACACCAACTCTAGACATTGAATAAAAATATTTATACGTTTAATTAATTTATTTTTAATTCCCAACGTTTCGGGTGCTTTACAGCACCCATGATCACGGGTTTATTGTTTTTTTGTTTCGAAAATTAGAGCTTATTTAATAACATCTAGTATGTAGGTATAGTGTATTGTGTACATAAACGCTCATTTTAAGGGGACTACAAGAGCCAACAAGAGCCAAGTGACCTTGAATGCTGCACGCACACATTTACACAATTAAGTGAACGCCATCTACGGACAGTGAGGTTAAATCCGGGTTTTCACTATACGAGTACTCTCGGACCAAGTGCGCTCGGATTAAAGTTGTTCAAAACGACTATAAATCAATAGCACGCTACAGACTATAAACTATAAATTTCTAGCGCGCTATTAAATACGCTATGTTATAGCGCGCTATTTATAAGAAAGCGTGTAGGAGGCCGGTAAGCACGTTAAGTTTTACAGCACGTTATATTTCTTAGCACGTTAAATTCATTACATGTCGTTCATTGGATAGATCGCGTGCTATATAAGAAAATTATTTCGTAATAAGTCACATTTTAGACTAAAATAAAATAAAGCGGTAAAGAAAAACCAATGCACGCATTTTCATAATTTTCAGGCCCACTAATTTCTATAATCCTAAAAATATTTTTAAGTTATGTACTATTTAAAATAGAATTAATTTTATTTTTAGAATCGAAATAAAATTAATTATTTCTTATTATAATTGATGTAAACATTATTTGAACCTTTATATAAATTATAAATCAAATAAAGGTGTATTTAAAAGTTTATTTATTGTATTTATAAAAATCTATTATTTACATACACTATTATATACACTTTTGTATCTATATTTTATTTACATTAATAATACTTGATAGCGCCAAACGCCATAGCGCAATAGCGCCATGGCAACTACTTACATAACACGCGCTATGTGTTATGAACAGATAGCGCGCTATAATATGGCGCTATGCGCTATTTTAACCACCATTAGCTCGGATGCCTACTACTACTACTACTACTACTCGGACGCTACTCGTAGTGTGTAAACACGTAATCCGAGCGTACTCGGACAGCGTCATCCGATTAGAGTGGAGTCGGATGAGGTTCTATTTTTACGAGAACACTCGGATAGTTTTATGGTGAAAAAATGGCGCCAACTAAAAAAGTGGAACAAACATGTTACTCTGAGGTTTGTGGAACTATATGAAGCGGAAGAAGTATTGTGGAACGTGAAATTAACTGAATATAAAAAAAGATGCCCGAAATGCTGCAATACAACGCATCGTTCATAACCTCAACATACCTCTCAGCAGTTGATCAGTCGTCATCGCTTACAAAGAGACAAAATTAAATGCTACTTTGGCTCTGATGAACTCGTAACGTGGCAACCCAGTTCGGAGTGGACTCCTATACGATCTAGCTCGTATGAGCGCACTCGGTCCGAGAGTACTCGTATAGTGAAAACCCGGCTTAAGCTAACGCATTAGCGAGGTTGCGCCCGAGTTACTTCTACACCCCATAGCCCGAGTCACAGAATAAATAATAGTACTACGTACCCGAGTGTTATAATTATAATAGATAAGATAACAAGCAAAACATAGATCTATGGGACAATGAAATTATTTTGAGTGTTACTTTTTTGTTATTTGATTTCAGTGTTGATTTAAGGATGTGGGTGATTTTGAAATAAAACTGATTTGAAATTAAAAACAAGGTAAAAAAAAACATTTTATTTAAGATCTATATAAAAAAATGTCAAGTGGCGCCGTTTAATACATCTTTATGATTTACATAAGGGTTTTTCTTAGAATTACATTATTTAATTCACGTTTTTTATAAATCGTTATGAGACCCGTATACTATAAGCTTCTTCCAGTACATGCTTCGATGAAAAATATTTACTTATATCAATAATTTCACATTGAGCTTATAATAGTTCTCTGGTTCACAAGATAGCTATATGTAATTTTGCATTTCGTTTATTTTTTTGTATTTGACTTTTAAAAATTGTTAAGCTACAAGTAAAAGAACTAACGTTCATACATCATTATAATTACTATTTATTATAAACAAAATCAAGGAAACTAAATTCTTTCTTGTGATAAGTCACATCGCAATTTTCAGATGATTCTGTTATTTCGTCATGTTTATTATCTTTAAGCCTTGGTCTTTTTAACAAAAACATAAGGTATTTTTATTTTTTTTATTATTATAAATTATTATAGCTTAGAAAAGTTGTAGGTACCTATGCATTAGAAATAACACCAGTCATTGATTTATATATTACACTAGATCAGTAATAACCGCGCCAAAGCGTTACCACTGCACATATGGCCACAGCCATATGCGTAGCTAACGTCATTTAAGTTACATAGTACTATTATTTATTCTGTGGTTCAGTGTAGGGATGATCGATGTTACAGAAACATCGATGATGATATCGATGTTGATATCGATAGCTTAACATCGATGTTCGATGTTTATCCTACTTAAAACATCGATGTTGGCCATTATCGATGTTATAGCACATGTATCTATTTAGTAGGTTAAAATTAGATGAACAAAAAATTAGTAGTGTTGTTTACGGTTACATCATCATCATCATTACAGCCCCTCACAAGTCCACTGCTGAACATAGGCCTCCCCCAAGTAATGCCACAAAGCACGGTCCTGAGCCACCTGCATCCATCGACTTCCTGCATGTCTTACCAGGTCGTCACTCCATCTAGTGGGGGGTCGCCCTACACTACGCCTACCGGTACGAGGCTGCCACTCGAGAACCTTTCTTCCCCATCGGTTATCGGTTCTTCGAGCTATATGGCCGGCCCATTGCCACTTCAGCTTACTAATCCGTTGAGCTATGTCGATCACTCTGGTTTTACTGCGGATATCCTCATTTCTGAGTCTATCACGCAGAGAAACTCCAAGCATAGCCCTCTCCATAGCTCGCTGAGCGACCTTAAGCGTCCTCATACGGCCAGCAGTGAAGGACCACGTCTCAGATCCGTAGGTCATCACTGGCAACACGCACTGGTTGTACAATCTAGTTTTTAGAGATTGAGGTATACCTGTCGAGAAGATATGTCGTAATTTCCCGAACGCTGCCCAGCCGAGTTGAATCCGTCGATTGACCTCTCGGTCGAAGTTGGACTTACCTAGTCGGACTATTTGTCCCAGGTAAACGTACTCGTCAACAACTTCGAGCATAGTGCTCCCAACAACTACCGGCATAGGTGTGACATGGACATTAAACATGATCTTTGTTTTGTCCATGTTCATCTTAAGACCTATCCGTTGGGAGGCACTATTGAGGTCATTGAGCATAATGCTTAAGTCCTCCAGCGATTCTGCCATAATGACTATATCGTCGGCAAATCGAAGGTGAGTGATGTACTCGCCATTGATGTTAATACCGTATCCTTTCCAGTCCAGTAGCTTGAAAACGTCTTCCAACGCAGCGGTGAAGAGTTTCGGGGATATAACATCACCCTGTCTTACACCTCTCTGCAGTTGGATAGGTTTCGAACTCTGGTTCTGTACTCGGATAGCCATCGTAGCCCTACTGTACAAACACTTCAGCACTTCGATGTACCGACAGTCAACTTGGCACCGCTGAAGGGACTGTAGCACCGCCCAAATTTCGACGGAATCAAAGGCTTTCTCATAGTCCACATATGCCAGGCAAAGTGGCAGATTGTACTCTTCGGTCTTCTGTACAATCTGCCGCAGAGTATGTATGTGGTCTATGGTACTGAAGCCTTTTCGGAAACCGGCTTGTTCGGGAGGCTGGAAGTCGTCGAGTCTGCGTGCGAGACGATTCGTAATGACTCTCGAAAATAGCATGTAGACGCGGCTCAGAAGGGAAATCGGTCTGTAGTTCTTCAAGAGAGCGTTGTCGCCTTTCTTAAAGAACAAAACCACCGCGCTTCTGCTCCACGCCTCCGGAGTAGTGCCACCATGGAGGACGGAATTGAAGAGCTTCCGAAGGACTTCAAGTACCGGTTTTCCACCCGCTTTCAGAAGCTCCGCTGTAATTCCATCCTCGCCCGGGGCCTTGCCGTTTTTAAGGTGGTGGAGAGCCATTCTAATCTCGCTCAGACTGACGTCCGGGATATCATCGGAATAGTGTCGGATAAGACTTGCTCTTGGATCGTTACTCACACTTACGTGTGGCTCCAACGATGATGTGTACAGCTGCCCATAGAACCTCTCAATCTCACTCAAAATCTCAGGTGTCCCGGAAACGATGTTGCCACACTCAGTCTTCAGCTTTGACAGTTGGATCTTTCTGGCAGACAGATCTCTGGCAGACAGATCTCTGGCAAAGACTTTGGAGCCCTGGTTCCGCTCGATCGCTTCTTTAATACGAGAAGTATTAAAGTTGCGTAAGTCTCGCCGCATGCATTTGGAGATCTGTCTGTTCAGTTGCCTGTATGCTGTCAAATCTGTTGACGATTGCAGCCTCATCTCCCGTCTAACAGCCATGAGATTAAGAGTGTGATCGGAGAGTTTTTGTGTTCTTCTGCGGCGGGTCTTGCAGAACTTAGCTCCGACCGCATGGACAGTTTCCAC